AATGCCCTGACAATGCTATGACGTCATGTACTTGATGACGTCACAATGCTATGACATCGCTGCACTGCAAGTCTAATGGCAGTACCATGTTCAGAGATGTACATTTTTCATTGAAAATTAATGAAGAGTGATTTTGGATGATAAATAGAATCTCACCCTCGTGTCTTCTGATATCAAATATATCAACACTCGTTGATAAAGTAAAAATATCCTCGGCAAGCCTCGGATATTTGTAACTTTATCAACTCGTGTTGATATAATTGATATCAGAAGACAATTTACATGAGTGAATTCTATATATCATTTGAGGCTCCTCAACCAGAATCGCAAAATACTTATTACAACATGAAAATTAACGTTCAGTGTTTTTAGAGTCCTGCATAGTTTGTAGAAATACTTGAGCAACTACACTATACTGAAGTATACATTTGCTGATCAGACTTAATTAAATAAATCAATATTTGATAATTTGAATTTGTAATTTGAATTTGTGTTTATACCGTGCTAACTGAGTAATATTTTACGTTTGAATGGTCAGATGTGATAAGTGTTATATTCACAGTTTCTCGGTGAAGTACAAACTCTGCACTTTTGGGGGTTGAGTGAGGCACTGAGGCACCAAATCACCACCACCACTACGTATTTTAGTAAACCTATTGACGAACTTCCATTTGTGGAGGCCTCGTTGGCTGAGCGGTCGGATGGCTTTGTGTAATGCGATTTGGCGATCCCGAATTCAAACCAGAAATTACTAGAATTTGTATTTTAATAAGAACCAGATATTATACAAACCCAGATACCACTTTTGTATCATTATATTTGGGCCAGGGCATTGATCACAATGGTATTTGTCTGGCGGTCTCTTAAATGAATCCCACGAATCACCAACAAGGATGAATCAACCTATATTTACAGAACCTCTATTCTGCGTGGATAACTAACAGTATATTTTCGTGGATAGTATACTTGTATGACTATGTATTTGTACAGAATCTCCATTTTAAATAAATGACCCAAATTATCATTGTATCACCTCCTCATTCTCAAGAATAATCTAACGCCCTTGGACAAAAGAATCCTTTAAAGGTCAGATGAAAAAAAATATATAATAAAAACACAATTATCACTTATTCATGACATATAATATACATTGCTGATTATGACAAAACAAATAAATAAATTATAAGCGTACAATCGCAAATCTAAAGTGCAATATTTTGTACTTGGGTTTACTTCCCTTGAAACGAAGCACCCGGGATACCGAACCCAGTCAGAGCGGGTGGGCGTGCACTTAAGTGTAACGGAGGCTTTCATTGGCTGGTTCATTTGCCGATACACTCAGGGGTCTTTGTGTGTGTATAGAGATGTTGGGTTTTGTAAATACAGGCTCATTTTTTGTGTATAACATTTGGCAGTCAACAGACATCATAACATGTCATGTGTACAAGTATCACACCTGCCTGTCTGTTTAATTACATAATACAGAGACAGAACTCGGGTGCACGAGCCATAAATCAATGCGTTTTGTTTATGGTGTATAGCCTGATAGGTGTTAAGTTCAAATTGCATGGGGTCAGTGATCGAAGTTGTGTATTGAATATTGTCATTAGCAGACAGGCAGGCAGACACATAGGTGTCAATAAAACAGACATTGAGTTTTGTCTGTGACAGAGGCATATCTATATCACAGTTAGAAATTCTGACAATGCTAAATAATGACGTTGCGTTTAAGTATCGAACTGAGAAAGTGACTCGGTAAGAAGAACGTGTGGTGAAATAGTCATATGAAATGATATAAACAGTTAAATCGGTAATCTACTGTCATAATATATATAAAAGCTCGCGCCTGTGAAATATCAACAAAACATTAGAAAAATAGCTCACATCAAAGTCTACTCCGAGTACTCACCGCCAGTGAAGGTTTTCCGCCTTGAAATGTCGAACGCCTCACTGGTTGACACATAGCTGAGTAGATTTAGATCCTTAACAAGGTTCTTTTATGTAACGAGTAGATTATTTACTATTTTTTGTTTGTGTACACAATCGAGATTAGACTGCTCCGGCTCACGACCTTATAGTTCGGGCATCCTGCTCGCGAACCTATTCATTGCGCATGCGCTATGAGCGCAGCGCAGCACATCTGTTGAAACCACTTTTCACCCCTACTGGGGTGAATTTAGTGAATTGGTTGAACTCGCGGGGTTTTTTCATTGCGTTATTTTTCAACTTTATAAGTTGAACTGGCATTTTTTATAAATTGTTACTGTAAGTCCATACCGAAAGGTATCAGAATCTGCAAAGTTGTGTTTTGCGTTGCATGTGACCTTTAAAGTAAATCAGATGAACATACTCAGATCAACATTTCCAGTTATTTTATCTCAGTATATTCTTCAACCTTTGTCAATTCAACGACCTATAGCTAGCGATAGAAAGTTGAGCTATACCCCACGCTACATACACGTAGAATGATGTTTGTGGGATTGAAATTGTGTGGGAGCTTCCTCTTCATTGCGTAAAGGCAATTCTGGTGTACATTGTGAAATAGATCATTCAGCTGAAAAAAGGTGGTAACAAAGAAGAGATATAAAACATTAAGTTGGATTGTGTTACACCTCATAACATCGTCGGAAGTCACGTAGTAACTGGAATAATGACAATGTTGTTCATATGTGGGCAACACTTTATGTCGAGAAGGATATCCACTTAAGAATAGATGCTGCATTGATTTTCACACATTTTCAAATGAACACTGAACAGTTAACACTAAATACATGTGAAGAAACATACACATCCAATACCAAAGTCCTTTTCCGTGAATATCCGGGAGGGGAAGTTCAGGCCAAATACAGGTTACAATTTGGGTTGAGCCCTAATTTAAACCATTTCCAAATTCAAGTTTGAACAAAGAACGACCGTGGGCGACTTAGAGCGACCTCTTGACATTTAGAGTGTCATCGTTGTCATATAGTATGTAGGAAGTGAAACTTTGGAGAATACTGAGCAGTTTCTTAGCGCAAATGCAAAACCAAGGTAAAAATGTGAAAATCTCGCTAAAACCATAACTCGCTTTGAGCTCCACTGATATTTGCAAAAAGCCTACCGCTTTTTTTTGTTGTTGTTTTGTAAATGGCAAATAGACATATGGTCAATGTGGTTGCCGTAAACTAACTATAAAATACGATACATACGATCTATCCATGTCAAATCAGTAATCTCTTGGAACGTATACTAATTGAGCTAGGAAGTAAGTATGCCCTTCAGCTGGCAAAACTCAATGTAAACATGTTTAATATGGCGGCAGTCTGTTCCTGAAGACCAAATCCCACTAGGATCTTCAAGGGTCCTTTGCTTAATATTGATATTTCATGATGACCAATGGTTTTGTGGAACAAATAAGCAAATACAATATGAAACAATGTGCAGTAAAATGAGAACAGATGGCAACATGGCGTACATGGAACATTTTTTTCAAACATAGTTTTTGTTTATTTATGGCTGTATAGAGAAAATGCGCAAGTTAAAAATGAACAGTGTGCAGGAAAATGATAGCAGGTTTCAACGTGGCGTACATGGGACATATCTGCAAATGCATTTTAAAATTATTTTTGGTTATATAAAGGGGGCCATTACACTGTGGAGCAGTGTGAAATGAATTTGGGAATTGGGGACATACATTGTAAAACACCAGCATTACCTATTGCTAAGACTGATCGCTCGCAAGTGTTCAATTATATCCCCAGATGACACGTCATCACTTACTTGCTGATTTGATGACTGCGTTATATTTCGAAATGGTCACTTGAGAAATCATCAGGCTAGCGGACCGTTTGTTTGTCTTTGATAAATGTCATGGAATGGTTTGAAGCGGAAAATGGCTTGTCATAAACTCCCATATGGTACCGTGGCTGACAGAAACATTTTAGATTTCTGTTTTCATATTTCTCATAGGATTTCGTCGATGCTGTCTGCATTAAATATTGATTGAAATGAATGACGGAAGGAAACACAGGTCTCCAGCATATCCGGACCTGCACAGGTCCGAGAGAGAAATCAAATAATTGACGTGATTCTCCAACATATTACCATGCCAGACTTCACCCACTTAAAAGCCGATGTGCGTTAAGATATGGAAATGTTGCCGTGTTTATACAAATGCAGTTAATAAATGTGCAGGCTTTATGCAAATGAGGATAATTTTGTGATGTGGAAGATGACTGTTTAATGCTGACGTAAGTAATGTTCCAGCTGCTGCTGTATTGGGTCGCGTGGTACGAATGCACTAGGCAATATTCCAGCTTATGACGGCGGTCAGTAAGTAATCGAATCTGGACCAAACAATCCAGTGATTAATATCATAAGCATCGATAGTGGCAATTTGGATATGATAACATTACAACCAAGTCATTGCCTGCCCAACACTACTGTTAGTTGCCACTTAGGACAAGCATAGGCTGCTTTTAATCCCGTTCTTCGCGAGTCCATTGTCCATGTACGTATCTCGACATATGTGTGGGGATAGAGTTTTTATGGCCAGGGGTGATAACACGTTGCTCACGTACAACCACCTGATAATGACCCATTATTGACGACCTGGTCCCTCGGAGCATGAGATCCTCCGGTGAACATTTATCAGGAGTCCCCAAAAAGGTCCACAGATACATACCTCGAATGGTATCAAATTCGTCGTAAAACCACATTGTTCACTCATTTATAACATATTAACATTCTAAATATATACTCATAGAAACGAATAATGGAACACATGAAGGTACAAGTGTTCCTTTATTTATTTCAGAACTTCACCCACAGTGCAATACATACCTTGTGAAGAAACCTGGAAAAGAATAAAGGAACACTTTATGTGCTCCGTCATTCGTTTCCATGAGTATAGTATATAGAAAATATCATATTGTATCATAAGTATATTTTCAGTGTAGTTTGTATTTCCATATCTGATAAGAATGAAGAAAATAATTATCATTGGTATCGTCTTGTTTCAGATAGTAATGGATCTCGTTGCCGAGGGTGAAAAGCTTTTCCTAATCAGTGTCAACTTCAGATGCTGATGTACTGAAATTGACACCCCATGTCATCACGACTACATTGGTGACATTTCGGCACCAACAGTTAAAGCCAATCAATAACCGAAGGAACTACGTCAAAGGAAATGGAGAGCACAGCAGGATAGTACAATGAACACCACCAGGAACATGATTTGTGGACTCCTTTGCTCAATCTGACAACATCTTAGACGTATCGAGTTCGGAGTGTTTAATCACCTCTGGCGTTTCAGATCAATTTCAAATGGAAAGCCGGTAGGCATCACATTTCTCATTAAAGTGTTGAGATAATAGTTTCCCTGCTCCAAGATCGTCAGTAAGATGCTGTGTGATATAACTATATGGGAGTTACAACGTCACCAAGATGAAAACAAGAGGGTCATGCTTTACAGTTTATGATACCATAGAACATTAGCGCAGAGTAAGAGTTCCAATCGATACAAGAAACAGGGGGCTCCACAGAAGAATGCTCTGACAGCATTTTTGACTGAAATATGTGGCTAATTCTTCACAGGTAAAGGTGTCTTGTCCAACTGTGATACGAGGAGGTTGAAAGGCGTAGTTATTTTGGTGAAGATCATTAACAGTTCCTGAAGCCTTGCCATCGTAGATCCTCTTTCGCGATAATTACGTCAGTTTGTGTCTCACTTGTTATATTTTTGTATCGTCGTCAACCAATACCGTGCGGATAGTCCTGATTATGTAAAACAAATCATTCTATAGAACTGAGCTCCGCGATGATGAATTAATGATTTCATTGTCCAAAACGTCAGCTTAATCTGCATACAAATCTCTGGGAAGACTCATTCTCACATTCTGACACAAAGCCGCAATGAATTTGGTTTAGAAACCGATACAGTTGTGCTGAGAGACACAGCTATCACAATGCCTTCAATCAACAATTCCGACTTCACCGTTCTGGAAATCGACGTCAATGACGACATCGACGACATGCTCATCTTCAACTCAACTAACTCCAGCATGGTTGCAGCGTTGCAGGATAACCCGTGGTACATATTTGTCCGAAAGTTTCAGACTGTCATGATACCCATTGTGTGCGTTGTTGGACTTGTGGGTAATACTCTGGCAGCGGGAGCGTTTCTCAGCCAAGCGTTGAGGAGCACCTCGTGCTGTTTACATCTTGCTGGAAAATCAATCTCTGACATTGGCTTTCTTCTGTCACTGTTTATAGTTTGGCTTAACCGACTTGAGGTGCCTGCTTTTACAATCCAGGGAGTTTGTCAAGTTACTGTGTTCCTTATATACGTCAGTGGATTTCTCTCCGTCTGGTTTGTCGTCATGATCACGTGCGAGAACTTTATCCGGGTATCCCTTCCAGGTCACGTGGTGGTCTGGTGCAATGTGACGCGTGCAAAGTTCACCATTCTGGTGTTAATTCTCATATCTATTGGGATTTATAGCTTCAGTTTGTGGACGACGGGCGTTATTCATCAAAGTACCGGAGCCAAATGCCTTGCCTTCGAGGAGTATGAAAAGTTAGTCATGGCCATGACGTATGTTGACTCGATCCTCACCCTTGCTATCCCGCTCGTTATGGTTTTTCTGAATGTTGGAATCGGGGTCGGTGCTATAAATGCACATAAACGTCGCAAGAGATTGTTCCAGGGCATCTCACGATCATCAAGCCGTAAGAAACGGGATTCGACAAGTCCTGAAGCCAAAGTTACGAAGCTTCTCTTTGCTGTCTCAATGATCTTTCTCTTGCTTCATACACCAAGTCACGTGATACGGATCAAAATGATGTGGGCTCAGATCCTGTACAAGTCAGCCCCTACGCTGTGCGACATCATCCTCCACAGAGTGTTTGAACTCATGTTCTATTTGAATTTCTCGGTGCATTGTGCAGTGTATCTGATATTTGGCGACAATTTCAGAGCAGTGTTTAAATCGTTGTATTTGCCGAACTGTTTTAAATCAACGCCTATGCAAAACAACTCTTTCAATACATATTGTAAGAGAGGGTCAGAAACGGAGGCAATATTAAGATGATGTAAACAGTGATGCCTTTATAATTTGTGAATGCAAATATGCAGGAAACGGTACAGGGAGGATGTTATAATAATCTATAGAAGGATGTCTAGTGGTTAAAGCGTTCGCTCGTCACGCCGAAGGCCCGGTTCGATTCCCGATATGGGTGTAATGTATGAAGCTTATTTCTGGCGTCCTCGTCCGTGATATTGCTGGAATATTGCTAAAAGCGGCGTAAAACCATACTCACTCATAATCTATAGATGCAAGTTCGACGCAGGATTATGTGCGTTTTGCAAAAAAATAAAAAGGCATTTTCGCAGTTAAAAGAATATGATCTTAAATAACTGCTTTGTCTACAGTTGCAGAATGAGTACAACTGCATTTGTTCCATTGACAGATGATACCGTCTTCTCCTAAATACTACCCTAAAGAGTACCTGGGGTCAGTGGTGATGCATTACCTATTGTAGGAACAAAATAAGCTGACTTTTGAACAACGAAACAAGTACCTTTTTTTCCGAGTGAATAAAGTATGTTCATTATTTAATATATTTCTTATGTTTTGGGAAGAACAACAACCCCCGACTTTAATGTATCTTTCGTAAGTGGATGTTTCAGGTTATATATTCAGTTGTGACACACTTGCACTCATTTTAGCCTGGTGGTTAAAGTGTTCCTTCGCCGCTCCAAAGACCCGGGTTCTATTCTCCTCGTGGTCAATATATGTAGCCCTTTTTCCTGTGTCCCCCGTCCCGGCTGGAATATTGCTTAAAGTGTGGTAAAACCTCACTCACTTCAATAACAGCTTTGAACATGTACTTTTCTTCTTGCATGCAATACTATCTTCAAGTTTCTTTTGTTTGTTGTTTAGCGCGGCTCTCAGCAATATTCCTTCTTTATGCCGGCGGTCTGTAAATAATAGACAGTCTAGTAATCATAAGTTCCCATCTACACAGTTATTGGCCTGGTGGGGTAGCCTAGTGGTTAAAGCGTTCGCTCGTCACGCCGAAGACCCGGGTTCGAATCCCCACATGGGTACAATGTGTGAAGCCCATTTCTGGTGTTCCCCGCCGTGATGTTGCTGGAATATTGCTAAAAGCGACTCAGTCAGTCAGTCAGTTATTATACGATGACATGTGTCAACCAAGTCAGCAAGCCGGATCCCGTTAGTCAACTCTTACTAAACGCGTAGGTTGCTGAAAACAAATTCTAATCCGGATCGTCACTGGTCTTTAAGAGCAAACGATTCTTAAAAAGGTTATCAAGTCAAACAAGTTCTTTGCCAGTGTTAAATACCCTGAACACCACCATCGGTAGCTGTTAAGATACAAAATTCATCAAATGACACACACACACATGACTATAGAGTCATACACTGATGGTTTATCTGTTTCAGCGTGTGTTTCAATTTTGTAAAGTGCAAATGAATATTTACTCCACGTCGTACATTTTCAGTAAGAAAATACATAATAGTATTAGGGGAAGAGGGATGGGTAGGTTCTGGACATTTTAAACAGATTTATTTTCTTATCTTTACTGCTAAATATAGATTGTTTTCCTTAACCATCACTTTACCTTATTTTACTTTCTATATCCTGGAGTCAAATTTAACAAGCACGTCTTGGTTCGTATCAGTTTTTGCAAACAGTCCCGAGACATCGCAAAGCATCAAGTGTCTTTCCCTCAGTGAACCAACGTTAAACGCATAAGCAACAAATCTAAATGTTTGAACTCTCACAGTACCGACAACGGTTTGAACAATGGTTGATGACACAAAACTCATGTACGCTTGGTGGAAAACGCAATCTGATTCCATATTGAAAGAAGCGTCGTATAATACGTATGTGTTTTGCAATACCTTGCATATGTTTGTTCTGTTTGTTGATTAATACCGCAGCAATTATCCAGCTATATGATAACAGTGTCTTGACCATCAATCAAATGACGGGCAAAATGAGCATCGACTTATTTTACTGAGATACGATGACATACATCAGCCAACTGAAAGTCAGCGAGCTTGAACGTCAAATCCCGTAGGTAGTCTCTTAAGAGAAGCATGGTTTGCTGAAGATCAGTTGTGACCCGGTACAAATATCATATACCCGACGGAATATTATACAAAGTAAGTACATGAATCATTCACAAGTCAACATTCAAAACATGAAGAAGATATGCAAATGTATTTTCACATTGGACAAGGGATAATTTCTTCATAGACGAAATGACAACAAGCATGGGTTGCTGAAGATCAATTCTGACCCCTGATCTTCAGCGGTACAAATATCACATTGGACAAAGAATATTTTCTTTATAAACAAATGACGACAAGAATGGGTTGCTGAAGATCAATTCTGATCCTGATCTTCAGCGGTACAAATATCACATTGGACAAAGGATAATTTCTTTATAAACAAATGACAAGCATGGGTTGCTGAAGATCAATTCTGATCCTGATCTTTAGCGGTACAAATATCACATTGGACAAAGAATAATTTCTTTATAAACAAATGACGACAAGCATGGGTTGCTGAAGATCAATTCTGATCCTGATCTTCAGTGGTACAAATATCACATTGGACAAAGAATAATTTCTTTATAAACAAATGACGACAAGCATGGGTTGCTGAAGATCAATTCTGATCCTGATCATCAGCGGTACAAATATCACATTGGACAAAGAATAATTTCTTTATAAACAAATGACGACAAGCATGGGTTGCTGAAGATCAATTTTGATCCTGATCTTCAGGGGTATAAATATCATACGACCGAGGTAATGCCATATATAGTAAGTAAATGAATTATACACAAGTCAAAATTAGCAATAAGAACACATATGTAAATGTTATACCACATTGGACGGATCATAATTATTTCACAAACGAACTGACGACAAGCAAAGGTTGCTGAAGAGTATATCTGATCCGGATCTTCAGCGTTACAAATATACAACCGAAGGAATTTTATGCTCAGTAAATACATGAATTATGCACAAGTGAAGAATATATGCACATTTAATACATTGGACAAAACATATTTTGTTCATAAAGCGAAATGACGAGACCTATTAGCTGCAAAAAAAATATTTATACGGTCAAACTGTTTCTGAGCTTCAATCAACATCACATGCTTTAAGGTCCCAGTCACAATCAACGTATGTTGGTCCTTCAATTTCGAAGAAAGCTATGGTAACCTGCTGAATGTGTTTGTTTGATGTCTAACAAGGCATTTATCAATATTCAAACTATATAACGACGACCTAGGAACAATTTTTTTTTTTTTTTTTTTTTTATATGTTTAATTTTTTTATTATTTGTTTGTTTTTACTACAACACTCAGCAATATTCCAGCTATATGACGGAGGGCTGAAAATCATCGAATCTGGACAGACAACCCAGTGCTTGACGTCATGAGCATCGATCTACAAAAAATGGGTACAATGACATGCAATGATGGGATTCGAACACATGGCTTCAGCCTGATGACTGACTGACTGACTGAGTTTTGGTTTTACGCCGCTTTTAGCAATATTCCAGCAACATCACGGCGGGGGACACCAGAAATGGGCTTCACACATTGTACCCATGTGGGGATTCGAACCCGGGTCCTCGGCGTGACGAGCCAACGCTTTAACCACTAGGCTACCCCACCTCAGCCTGATGAGTCAACCCTATAACACCTACATTTCAGCTAACGTGACGAGAACCTCTTACATTTACCTGATGGTCAACCCTATGAAATATTGCCGATGTGACGTTAAATCTTAACTCACTCACTCTTAAATTTACCATCAAATGTCTGTATTCCTATGTCATGACACCCTGTACAACAAGACTCGAGTGATCTCTTGGTCCCTTCCACGTGGACATCCACGTGGGAATTGGAGAATAACGGATCGAGTGGTCAGACTTTCTAGGGTGGCTCATTCACGACACCAGGTCCCAACTGCTTTCGTCGATGCTCATTATATCAATCACAGGAAAGTCTGGTCCAGACTCAAGGATCAACAACACTTTGAATCAGTGTAAAGTAAGGTGTACTTACCGAATTCTTCAAGGTATTCATCCATCTAAGACAAATTCACCGCCAAAAGAGACGAGGTAACTTTAATGAAATTGAAGAGGTTTGCCCTCCCACTCGCAATACACTGTATGTGATTCACGAACTATTTTCGAACAACCTTATCATATTACAGCTCAGGACCCACTCACGTTTTATGAAATGGCATGACATTTTCTTTTTAGTTCATGAACCAATTTTCCTCTTTTTCCGTGGAAGGTTACTGATAATTAAATCTCATGTGCTTACACTTTCTACTCAGTCTTAAATGTTTATCGCTGTCATAGGTTGCATTATGTCGTGCGGGTGGTTTTTTTCCATTTTATAAAAAACATAGTATGGCCTTCATCCAGCATCGAGAGATCGATGGTTAAATTGTTGTCTATGTTCCCTGTCGGGAAAGGGTAGCATAATGCCATAAGTATCCATTTTGTCGACTTGTCATGCGAAAAAATGATGAATGTATGCGGTGGTGTTTCATCCAGATTGTTTTTTGTTTGTTGTTTAACACTACACACATCACTATGTATGACAGTGTCGTCATAATGTCTCGAGGAGAAAATCCAGTGATCAACATCATGAGCATTGATCTGGACAATCAGCATACGATTACATGAATCAGACAATTCAGCGACCCTTACCGCCGATGACTTCATTCGTTTCTAACAACAAGCATAGTTTCCTGAAGACTTATTCTAATCCCGAACTTCCCACATTGTCATTTTGAGACAAGACAAAAAGCATTTACATTTTTAATAAAAACTGTTTTATGAGGAAAGTAAAATGACTCAATAACATCACATTTACTCCCTTAAAGAGGGTATTCACCTTTAAAACAAATATAATGTCTATGTGACCTGTCTATTCTCACCTCCCCCATTGTATCAGTCGATCTTCCACCCACCAGACGCTCAGCCACGTTAATCACCAAGAATAAAGTTCATGCCCTACATTCCAAACCATGTTATGTGTAAATCACGTTGCGTGTGCGTGTGTGAAGGAGGGAGGGGTGCTAAAATAGTTACACGATCTGATCTATGTGTTGCAACATAAACAGAGTCCTTCTCCAGTTACTTTCAAAAAGACACCCCCACTGGTGGATCCGTGGACCAACAAAGTAAGGATAGGCCTTCAACAACACGAAAGGCGATAAACGCTCTTGTTGGGTCAGTCGTGCTGATTTAACTGAATGTCATCACATTGCCTAGATCGATGCTGATGATGGCAATGAATGGTCTGTCTGGTCCAGATTCGATAATATACAGACCAGCGTCACATACCTAGAATATTACTGAGGGTGGGGTTTAGCAACAAGTGAAAACAATATGGACATTGTTGACATTCCTTATTGCCCATGACACTCCAAACGATCACATTTGTACATCGTACAACAACAGATCCTATCCCATTTATGTAGACCGACGCATGTGTTGTTGATCACTGTATTGTCTGGTCCAGACTCGATTATTTGGCACCCGTGAAGAG